CGCCAGCATGTAAATGTTTTTGATGAATAATTAGACCCAACGGATCAAATATTCTTGCGATATATGACAAAGCCATACGTTTAGTAATATTTTCGAAATTTAAAGGTAATTGGACAAAATAATTTAATGTATTTGCAATCCACAGCAATGCAAGTGCTTTTGCTTCTTGAGTGTTGTTAACCTGAAAAAGTTTATTGTTAATTGAATGATTGTCCTTGTTTTGTAGTACCCCCATATCATTAGACATCCACTTTCTAAGTGTTAATCCTGACTTCGATAAAATAGATTCTACTTGTGTTTTTAATTGTATCGCTTCTGATAACGTAAATGAACCGGTAATTAAATCATCCATGTAGAAATCATTTTTTATGACCATACTTGCATTTGGATAGTCCTTTTGACAATTTAGCCCTATTTGATGCAATGTGCGCGTTGCAAGAAATGATGCGCTGGATGTAGCATATGTTATAGTATTAAGCAGGTAGTGTGAGATTTCTTCATTGGGGTTGTTTCTCCATACGATGCGCTGAAGGCCACGGTGCGGTTCGTATATATCGATCATTCTGTACATTTTCTCTACATCAGCAGTGATAACTATGCTATGAGAAAAGATCGCCCTGTACCTTCGGAACTACTCTTAATACGTCATTTAAGCTAAGATCTGACGATGTCTGGGCCGATGCATCGAAAACCACCCGTACTTTCGTTGTAGAACTTGACTCTTTTGTTACCGCGTGATGAGGAAGATAATTATGAATGTCGTTCGGATTATCCTTACTAGTATCTATTTTTGTCATATGCCCCATACTTTCGTATTCATGTAAAAATTCGACATACTTTTCTTTAAGTTCGGAATTTTTTGATAATGTACTTTCCGTTGCATGTAATCTATGAATTGCCATATTTAATGATTCTCCTAATTTTGAGACATTTTCTTTAAATGGTAATTTTACTGTAAATCGACCGTCGCTATTTTGTACAACATTTTCGCGAAAGAAGATTTCACATTTGAGTTCTTCGTTTGATAATTTTGAATCGGAATTTATAACATTTTCGATTTGCCAAAACCGTTCCACCTGGTTATTTAACATGTTCGTTGCTACGAGACATTTCGAATTGGATTCGTTTATCGGTTGTCTTATTGTTTGAACTGGACCGACTATAATCCAACCTAGTCGTGTGCTTTGTAAAAGTAGTGCTTCGTCATTTAATTTAATTCTGTGACTATTTAATAGTTCGAAAAATGCTGTGGTTCCTAATAACATATTGATTTTATCGGATTCGTAGAAATTAGGATCAGCTAGTGTTATGTAGTCTGGTATGTTACATGCAGTAGGATCAAATGAAGCTTG